TCTCGGTGTTTTCTTTCTTTTTGGTGGCAGCTGTGGAGCTTCTGCTGCCTCATCTTTAGGCCTTTCCCCTTTTTGAGACCAGTTCTCCAGCAACGTTTGGTCTGGACTCAGTTTTCATGAAGTTAGTTTGAGAGCTGCAAGAAAATAACACACTGAGACGAGATGGAACTGATTTTCAAAATAAAATACCATGCACACTAACAGAACCAGGACAATAAATCTAAATCAAACTTTGTCTACTTTTTATGCAGCAAATGATCCAAAGCCCGGTTCTGGTCCTCAGCCCGGTGGCTGGACCCCCAACCTGAACCCCCTCAGACAGCTCAGACAGAAAGTCCCTCACTTGCAGGTGAACTCACCTGGTTTGATGTAAAACTCTGAGGAGAGATGAAAGTGAACGTGTTCAGTGTGTTCAGACTCCATTTAGTGTGGACAGAAGAAGAAGATCAAAGGACACATGTGGATCAGAGAAAGTGCTGACTCACCATTCTTCTTCTCCTCTCAGAGTCTCTGAGGGACTTTTCTCTCTGTGACACAAAAAGACAAACTCTAAGAAGTTCTTGTTCCTGCACAGGCACCATTTAAACACGAGCTTCATTCATGACTTGGAGTATTTCCAGTTTCAAACCAGAGCAGGAAACTGAAACCATTTAACCTAATACAAGTGAACACAGGACACGCCTCCACAGTGACCGGAACAACTTTCACTACAATGTAAACTGTAAAGTTTTCTGTATTTTTGTCCTGCACATGCAAACAGCCACAGAATGCTGTGTGTGTCAGCATGTAGAATGACAGTGAGAGTGATGAGAAGTTTCTAGAACAGTGGCTGCATGAGATGCTATAAATCCTTTGAGCTCAGAGTTTCAGGAGGCAGTGATCCACTTTGGTCTCCAACATCCTGACAAGAAACAATGACTGAGTCCACACTAAACAACAAACCAACACATGAGTTGTTCTGCAGCACAAAGCAGCAGCAACATCCTCATCTTCTCACCTGCAAACATTCTGGATACTCATTCAACATCTGGAAACAGGAGGCGGTGTCAGGAGCCTGCCTGAGACAGGGGGCGGGGCTTAACGAGTGCTGAGACTGGCTGCAGGACAGAAATGTGACCCCAGCGTTCAGTTGGACGCTGACAGGAACAGATCCACGTCAACAAGTTTATCTCCTCCGTCATGTGACTTCTGACATATCAGTCCAGATGTTTACCTGCAGCTCAGGTGTTCCAACAAAGTTGCAGAGTCTCATTCTTCAGGTGGGAGGGACTCAGTGAAGGATGAGAGTGTGGCCTGTTCCTAACAGTCTCTATATCCCTGCCCCACCTGTCTTCAGGTCCAACAAGAACCGCCTCCACTAAAGCTCCAAAATAAAAGTCCAGCATTAAAAACCCTCCAGTGCTTTTATTGTGGTGGGAAATTATGCTGTTGCTGCAAGTGTGAACTGTGTTGAAGCTCACAGAGAATTTAGGCTCGTCCACATCACTCCACTTTATCAGCACCACTTCTAAAAGTTCTGCAAACAGGGACATGTGAGATTTGAGCCACAGCTCGTTCTTGTAAAGCCTCAAAATGTGTGTGAATGTGCAGAAAGTACTTTCTAAAGCATCTGATTGAAGGAAACAAAGAGTGTGGAGCTTTTTGCCAACAGTGACAGGACTGTATATATAGAGAAGATTGTGTTGGTGTCACTTTGTTCACGTGTGTTTTCTTCTCTGAAGGAGGAAACAGACGCAGAAAAACATTCCTAAGAAGTGGAACTTCAGGTTCTTCCTGTAACGAAGAGGATCAGCAGCCGTCGCTGTGAGTCATTCTTTGTTTCCAGCAGCAGTGATCCGGGTCAGCTCCGTCAGAACACACTCTTAGATGTGAGAGGACGTGTGTGTGTCGTCTGTCAGCGTTTCTGCTGTGAGTCTGTCTCAGCTTTGATGTTTGTCTGTGAAACTGGAAACAGACGTGTTGCTGCACTTTATCTCTCGGACACAAACTTTATTGATCCCTGCAGGAAAACAGCTTCGTACCATCTCCCAACAGAACAGGAAGCAGGTGAGTCCAAACTCAAGAAGAGTGAAAATGTGATGATGTGATGGATGAACTTGTTCCACTGAGAACAAGTTTAGAGTTCTTCAGTTCTGAATGCAGAACATTCCTTATAAATGTGAACGTGTTCTATCTGTGAGACTCTCTGTGGAGTTAGAGCAGGGCTGCTCAAAGTCCGGCCCGCACACGGATCATGTGACACCAAAAACTGCAGTTGAACAATAAAATCATTTTGTCCTTTTGGACTTCAGAGGTTGATGCAGATGGACACCTTTTGAATCATTTAAGGACATTTTTATTTTGATACTTTTTAGCTTTAACAGAAACTTGATGAAAACAATATTCTTCAAATGTGTCGTATTAAGAACGTTTTTCATCTTTAATTTGTCTCGTTTGTGATTTTTATTACATTAAATGGTGAAAGAATCATATACGTTTAGTAATTTCAGTGTTTTTAAAATAAAAACTCTGTTGACTTCATCATCAATTGAGGGAAATTGGAGCCTTGAAAACCTGGAAAACCACTTTCACATTTTCCAGACATTGAAAACTGAGAGAATTTGAACTGATCTGATGATTAAAAGATGATTTTTCACAGATTTGGACGTGCACGTCTATTAATGCTGGTATTCTGGTACCAGTGAGTCCATGTTGTGCTACTCCAGTTTACCAGTTTGTTACTCCTTTCATGACAGAACGTTGAAGCATCAGATCTCTCACTGCTACAATAAATCTTTGCCCGCCACCTAAGAAGCTGAGTTGTGAGCGTTTTGTGACTGAAAGATCTCCTGGAATTTCAGGATTCACTCAAGGACTTTTATTTTGGTGAAATGCTGTGAAGTCTGCGTTCAGTCAGACTTTCAGTGAAGAAGAATGATTTGAAGCTTTTCTCTGCTTTCATCAAGTCCTCCCAGCAGCTGAGATCTAACACGTGTCTCTGTTTGTAGTTCCTGTTCTAAAGTGTGAAACAGAACAGGAGGAATGAGTGTGATGCTCTGAACACTGATGATCCTCTGCTGCAGCTTCTATCAGCTGAAATGCTGTAAATGTTGAACTGAGTGAATGTGAACGCACCGAAGCTTCCAGTCACTCAGTCAGTGTGTCAGTGAATGAAATGTGTGTGTGCTGGGCTGCAGCTCCATGACTCCATCTAGTGGACTGATAGTAGAAGTCCAGCAGCTGATGCAGCTTCCTCTGCCTCACTCTGCTGTCTGACTGCATTCAGCTGAAGCTGAGAAGAAACAAAGAGCCAATCAGAGGAGGAGCAGCTGATCTTTTTACAGCACACATCATGGAAAGGAGGATCAGAGTTGATGTTCACATGAATGATTTGTGTTTCCTCTGCAGGTGAAGGTAGAAAGTGTGTGTGAGCTGATGTGAATTCAGCAGCATGGATCAGTGTGAGGACAGAGAGGAGGGAGTCCCTCCCTCTAAAACCACTCTGTGTGGGGAACATGAGAGCCAGAGCAAAGATCAGAGGTGACATTTCCAACTGTCCACGACACTTCTCCATGTCAGAGCTCAGCACTCACAGCAACACACTGACTTTATTCACAGGAACACACCTGGACCTGGACCTGGACCTGGACCTAGACCCGGACCCAGCTGTGTGTCCTTTAAGAGCGACATGTCAAAGGAATCTCCTCTTTATTTCAAACAAAGAGTTTCCTCCGACAACCAGTAAGTTTCTCTCAGAGTCCAGTCGAGGCTGGATGATATTAAAGATAATTGTTTTCTGTTGAACGACTTTGAGTTGATTTTTATTTCATTTCTCTGAGACTAAGTTGC